AATGCCCAGTAGAATGTTTCCTATAGAGGTATTCCCCAACCTAAGTGCATATGCAATGTTCATATGCAACATTTTCCAACAATAATCCTTTTAACTAAGATTTAAGCAAATCAAAGTTGGACTCTAACATGTCATGTCATGAAATGAAATGATGTCAATTCATGCAATTTACCTGAGCCCTTCCTGACTCCATAACACATTCAATGTCAATGTGTACAAAACTGAGCTTTTCTAGCTCCGGCCATTTACCTTTACCCCATGCTAAGAAGTGAGTATCAAAATCGGGTTTTCCAAGCCCCCACCATTTGTGTTACACACCCAATGACTATTTAAAATCTCCAGGTCTTTCTTGGGGTGGGTATTTATGGACTTACACCAACAGTCACACAACCGACACAAAATTCATGGACTTCTACCAATGGTTCCGCGTACACTGACACACTTTATGGGCTCTTATACCAACGAAAGTGCATATACGAACACTGGGTCTCTCACCCGAGGGATAATCTAACCCTTCTTGCTACCCCGACCCAATTCTTTTTCATGCAACTGTGTGACTCAGTTGAATTTTCAATCCAACTTTTTCGAACCCACCATCATCCACCTACTGGGTGTTTGATATCTACTATGCACACAGACACCCATACTCATGGCTATAAATGCATTTCCCCCGTTCAAATGCAATGTAATGCACCATTAACTAATTCACAACCCATTGCAAGATAAAATTTTATTTTACCCAATTTCAATACTCATTTCATCAATTTCCACAACATAGGTAATGATAAAATCTATTTATCCACATACCCATTACATACTACACCTTAAGTTATAAAATAAACCTGAGTAGGAAGGAACCCTACCTCTTGAAGCGTAACCCACTTGGTGGAACCTTCAAGAATCTCAATCAAGCCCAAAACCCTTGATTTCTCCCAAGCTTGTTTTTGGAACTTCAGTGAAAATCATCTTTTTGGTATAGTCGCGTAGCCCATGATAAGGAGGTCGAATTTTACTCTTGGCCCGAGTTGATTTGAAGCCCGTGGAGTCGTAGATCGTAGAGAGAAGTAGATTTCTTTCCCTCTTTTCCCTTTCTTCTCTATCGGCAATGGCTGAGCAATTGTAGAGGAGAAAATATGATTTTCTTCCCCATTTTATAGTCCCCTAATGCTTGGTCCACAATTGGCCACACAGCCCTATTTTTTCTATGTCCATTTTTGTCCCTAACGATTTAAATTTGTCTCGGTTCAAGTTCAAATTAATTTTATCTTAATTTGCCTTAAATTATTTTTCATCTTTCAAAATTTTATTAAAAATTTCGTTTTTGGGTCACCCAAGACTCAACCACCTAGTAAAACGCAAAAAATCTAACTATCTCAAAATTCGATGAAATTTGACAGGGTAACTAGATTTCGCGAGACGAAACTAACGGTGAGGTCCGTTTTGTCATCCCAGATCTAGAAAAATTCAGGTTTTCAACACGTATTGTAGCAATAATTTACCATTTTGCCCTTTTTTGTAAAAAGTTTAAATTTACCGGGTTTTACAAAAATAACTTCCTAATAATTACTTTAAATACTACATAAAAATATATTAAAAATATGTACATAACATTCCATTCCCCTTCAAAACAAATTTTGTCCACAAAGTTTGATTTATCATATACAAAAGAAGGCGACCAACCCACTTCCTTATCCTTGTAGCAATCTACTTTATTTATATTTGCACAGATTGCAGGGTTAAACTTCAAAGCATTCCAACCTTTGTATTTAATTACTGTAGTGCTATTGCTAAAAGCTATGTTGACTGAATTTTCAGCTTCAACATCAAAGCTAATGACATGCTTGAGTCCATTTTCAAAGCACCCCACGTCTTGTTGTCGAGGCACCTAGTGGCATCCGATATGCAATCTTGCAAAATGAGTGTAATAGTCTTGATCCAAGCCTATGTGCCTCAATTGGGTAAAAACACAAGTGAGCAACTCATTATCTTTTTCTTTGAGAAGTTCATAACCCAACAGTGAAACTCCTTCTTGATAATATGGTGCTAGCGGGACTTTTTCATCAATGGTGGTTCGGTGGAACTCAAAGAATTGTTTGGCTAGACCAACCCAAGTACAACCATCTTCCTTGTGGTTGTATCCTGAAAAACCCAACTTTGCAAATTAGGGAGTACTCGATTTATAACTTGATCCACCTAAAGCAGCATATGGGTGGTCATTACTCTTCCCTGCTATATGGTGTTGGGTTGAGCCTTTGCCTTGCTCAAGATAGTGATCTCGATCGACCCCTAATTCTTCAAAGCAGTTGTTAATGACGAGAAACATCTCATGAACCTTTTTCATCATTCTTTATTGTCTAACAATTAAAGAATAAACTTTCGCCTCAAGTCGATCAATCTGGCCCTCATGTCTGGTTCTGATACTAATTGTTACGTGCACGATTTTTTGAGTGATTTATAAAACAAAAAAATAATAGAATTGAGGAAGAAAACCCGCTACGAGGGGGTGAAAACCTCCAATGACTCAATTTGAGAAGAGATGAATCTCGAAAACTTCTACAAAAAAGTTCAATATAATATTCAACATATCCATTTCATTAATAGGAAAACATTTAAATGCAATATAATAAAAACTATCTTAATAACTAACCTAACTCATAACTCTACTATCTTAGTAACCACATAGGAAACTACCCACAAAATACTCTTCCACTAACCCACTTACTAAAACAACTCCCTAATAATTATCTCAAATACTACATAAAAATATATTAAAAATGTGTACATAACATAGGAATGTTTGGACAGTGCTAAATATCTTGAATTGTTTTAATAGTTGTGTTCGGATGATGTTGGGCGCGTAAGGACGCATCCACACATCGTCAGGTCCTCAACATCAGATGTGCATCCAGACGGTGCCAACTTTATGAAAAATTTGGACTCTGCTTGATTTTTGTGCCATCAACTTCGGGTGTACATTCAGACAGCCTTTGTGCATCCGAACGACACTCAAACTTTGTCGAAGCTCTAATTCTTGAGTCAAATCAACCCTCTCCATCGCTTGTTCCCTTTGTTCAACTTTGTTATCATCATAAATCATTTGAATTACCTGCAAAATGACACAACAAGCTAAAACAGCAATCCATATCAAAAATTAGATAATTCAACTTCTTTAACTTAAAATATTATATAATTAACCCATCATTAAATATAATAAAGTGACACTTTTGATAGTTAATCATTGCACAACACCAGATAGTAGCTCAATAGTCGAATTCATCTTTTCTCCCTAACTCTTTCTATCCTTCTCACAATTTTGTCTAATTCTACATAATCTAATAAGGTGTAGATATTTATATGAGTTTTCGTAAGTGCGAAAATTTTTCTATCATAGGATAATAATGACATTTTTTTATATAGTTTTGTATGGACACATTTGGACATGTCAGGATAAGAGAGATTACAAAATAAGTGATCACAAAATTTTTAAAGCAAACTAAGAACACCCTAATGTGCCCAAACTGCAACGTATCTGAAATGTATCCGTGACATGTCCATAGCCATTTAGGTATAGATTTACATGACTATAATACAGGGGACACTCTAAAAAATATATTTTAGGAGTGTCATATATATACATTCTATATTAATTTTGAAAAAAATTGAGGTTGGGCCCTGGACCACCATAGTCCAAGGGTGGTTCCGTCCTTGGTGGGCATAAAATGCTGCCACACTTTGTATACCTTGGCCTAGGACACTTTGCTAGGTGTGTTGTTCTATCTGTGGTCTCTGGAGAATCTCTTAGGCATACGACTTGTTTAAGTTTACATCTCCTCCATTCGGCCCAAAGGACCTTAATTTTGAAAACAACCATGTTCAACATGCTTGAATGGGTTCACTTTGATTGATAAATAAAAAATCAATTCCAACGAAAATAGAGAGCTTGCACATGTTGGCAGTATTATGTTTCAATAAATCTTTCTTTTGAAAGAAAATTATATTGAAACTTCCATATCATGTGATCCATACAAGATAACTGTATCTACTACATTTTTGGGTAACGTAGCTAACCATGCTCCTTTTCCTGTTCTCCACATTCCAGTTAGTTTCAAGCTAGTGCTTGTATCTATAGACGCATAGGTATATTGTTCCTATATTTCTGAGATATTCTTTCCATAAATTAATATTGGATTCTTTACAAATGGAACTTTCTCAAGTTATTTCAAAAATATATAGAGGATATTGTCACGAGAATTCTGAGTCATACAAGATTCTTAGTAATGGAGATCTTGTCTCTTAAGTAAGAGGAACACCTTGTGGGTTTGTATCAAATAGAAATAACAAAAGCAATTAAGTTTTTACATCATCTGTGAAAACATTAGTATGCTTGTTGTAACCTAGAGAAATTGTCTTGTAGTGCGACTAAGGTTAGGTAAAGTATTGGTAGCTAGATAAATATCTCATCTTTTCAAAGCAAGTGGAAAAATTGCAATTTTTGGAATTAAATTAATGCAAAGATTGACTAATTTGCATCTTACTTTGGTTGATATCCACAAATCTATTAATCCAACAATGAATGAACTCTTATTAAATATATCTGTAAATATATGTCACTACTATTCGTTTGGTTTTCTGCAGGTTTTTGGCACTGAAGAACCTTCCCACTGTTTTCCTTCAGCAAGGTTCTACCCATTATGAGAGTGCTCTACGCTGCTATCTTCAAGCTGTAGAGATTGATACCAAAGATTCTATTGTCTGGAACCAGCTGGGAACACTCTCATGTTCGATGGGGTCTTTAAGCATATCTCATTGGGCATTTGAGCAGGGGCTTTTTTGCAGCCCCAACAATTGTAAGCATGCACTTTGATTATTTCTCTTTTGTTGTGCAAGAACTATTGCAGTTTCTAGTTTATGTTTGTACTCTTTGTGGGCCAATTTTGATCATCTTGTATGATGACTATCTTTTTATGTCCCTAATGTTTGTGTTTTGTCGTCATTGGACAATGCATACAAGGAATTGCATGGAGAAACTCTTGGAAGTTCTTATTGCAATTGGTGATGAGGTTGCTTGCCTTTCTATTGCGAAATTGATTTTAAGGCATTGGCCATCACATTCTCATGCTTTGCATGTCAAAAGTACCATTGAGGAGTCTGAACCAATCCCACATGCTCCAAGAGGTATAGACAAACTGGAACCTAAACATGTCCGATTGAAATTTTTGGAGAAGAGAAAAGCAACAAACAATGATCAAGATGATGGTATCCTATCCAAAAAGCTAAACCAGAACATAGAATTGTACATCCCCGAGGCTTCCTGGATAGCATTTGCTGACACACTTCTAGAAATCTTACTTCCATTGAGTGGATCTAGTTGTGAACAAGACCCTGGGAAATTAGCTAGATCTAGGGATGTTAGATTAAGTATACAGTTGCCTCACAGTTCAAGAATTGTTATGGGATTTGGGGAAAGAAAAGAATGTACTATCACCCCACTTGCTAAAAATAAGTCTTATAGTAATTGTAATTCAGGCAAAGGTAGTTTTTTACTGAGAAGGAAGCAATTATGTATGAAGAACAACTTCAGGAGAGGTGAAGTAGTAGTCTTGAAAGGCTTAGAAGTCGTAAACCGAGTAAAGAAGAATTAGATTTTGCGAGCAGTAAGGATCTGGGAAAAATTGTAGTGTAATTTCTAGAACCTTTTATTGTGGGTGGAACAAGAACTAAAAATAGTAAGAATGATGTCGCCTGTTCTTTTCAATGTGCTGAGGTTGCGGCTGGTCCACTGGACAATGAAAGAAGTGATGTTTACCATATTTGTTCAAGAAACCTCAAAAAATTATGGCGCTTACCACATGGGTCACTTGCTTTTAGAAGAGATGGCAAGTAGAAGCATGTTATATCAGGACACCATTGCCAAGTTTTTGGAGTTGGAGAAGGTGACAAGGCACTTGGGAAGGGATAGGACACCTGAATGCTGTCTTTTTATTGTTGAATTGTATTATGACTTTGGATCACATTCTCCAGACAAGTTCAGGATGTCTGATTTCATGTCAGAAGCATCATATCATCTTTGTAAGATAATCGAATCGGTAGCTCTAGACTATCCGTTCCACGTGAGTGATGGAGCTAGGGGTGAAACTTCCTCTTCGACAGATAGTTCTCAGCATAATTGTGAAATGTCAATTGGCATTTCTTCTCTGTTGAGCAATAAATGTTCGTTTTGGGTTCGTTTTTTTTGGTCAAGTGGGCGATTATCAGTTTTGGATGGTAACAAAGCTAAAGCTTAAGAAGAATTATGTATTTCCTTATCACTTTTGATGAATAAGGATACTACAAGTGGCTCTCTTGGATCTGTTTGCTTGCCCCACTGCAAAGCCGTTAAAAAATTAACAATTGATGGGGTTCTGCATGAGATTAATTTACTGGAGGTTGATTTTTTTGTTGAAAAAGACAATAGGCGAGATGATTGAGAAAGACATGCATTCTGAGTGTGTAAGTTTGCTTACCCCCTTCTAATTTCTTTAAAAGATGTGTATCCTAATTTATTATATGTTGCCATCAAAGAAGGTGACGAGGTTACTTCACTTGAACTGTCAGCATTAGATGTTTAAATTAAAGCATGTGAACACGTAGAGCCGATGGACATTGAGGTCTTTTCGAATTGTCACCAACAGAAGCTGCAAATACTCATGGTTGCAGCTGGTGTGGAAGAATGTCATGCTTCTGAGAAAATGTCAGGCTTAAAAATGTTCTCTATTTCTGAGGAAAAATCAAAAGAAAACCCAAGCAAGCACTGGAATCACTTGGTTGATAACGAAGTGAAGGCAATATCTCAAATTGTCTTGCAGATGAAGAACCTCATCCATCCTTGTGGAAATTCTGTCAGTCAAATTTTATCCTCAAAAGTTGATGGTTCTATGGCCATAGTTTCATTATCCAAATTTTTCCACATAAGAACTCTGATATAGATAGTTCATTATGAGTGTTGGAATTAACATTTGCATGGAATTTGTTCACACTTATTACTTTTACTTATAATTCTCAACTTGATGGATAATAGTGGCTAGTTTTGAAACTGATATTTTGTAGAGGACAACTTTTATTTTTCTTTCCAAGACAATCATGCACTTCATGCTAGTGTTTCAGCCATTTCTGAGTTGGAGCGTGTTTTCGAAGTTTTAAAGGTTGTAATGTTTGTTCCTGGTTAACGATAATGAATGCTACTCTTAGTGACTGTGAATCTGACTCAAACAGTTCCATGATTCTTCATCCGATGAGGAATGCAATTATACAAGCTTCACCGCGTAGGAAAAATCTGTAAGATGTCCCTTGCTGAAGATCTAGACACGAAAGATGACCTTGATAACTGATAAGTATGAACATCCAGATATGAGTCTTGTGGTGAGCTGTACAAGGAATCTCTTAAGCTGAGAAAGGCATACATGAACATATCTTACAAGATCTAGTTAGTTGGAATGAGAGAAATGTCTTAAAACAAGAAGCAGCAGAATGTGCAACTCTGGTTAGTTAGTTGAAGGGTGTTGTCACAAAGTTACTCTCAGAGAGTAACTAACTGTTGTGGATAAGAGAAACGCAACAGCTGTAGGTGGGGAAATGTCGAAAAAAGATCTTCACCCATGGAGAATCCAAGAAAGGTCTTGAGCAGAAAATTTCCAAGGTTGAGCAAGACCTAGCTAATACTAGAGAATAAAGGTTGGCTCAAATAAGTGGTTTGAGAAATTGAATAGACCAATAAATACAAGATGTTGAACTTACTTGTGGTCTCGAACTTCGCCGCCATTGGACGCAAGAATGAGATCCTCCCCGAGATGGTCCAATTGTTATACGCACTTGGGAAGGGCCAAAGCATAGATCTCCCTTCATTGATTTTAGCAAAGATGATGAAGGGGTGTAATGTGAAAAGAAACTCACTCCCCTTCGGCACCCTGGTGACAGAAATGTTCACAGACCATAGAGTGAAAGTGAAGCCAAAGATGGCAATATAGAAGCCAATGGGGCCATTGAACAAGGCTTCCTTCCGGAGGAGCCAAGGTCACAGTGGCACCTCGGCGATGAGACGGAGGCTGCACCAGCCCAAGGCACCGATGAGGTGTATGATGCCCTAGGTGAGGAGGAAGAGAGAGAGGTAGAGGCTGAGAGAGCCCATACACAGACCCAGGAGGATGCAGGTCCCAGCACGGGCACCCCGTGATCGCTGAGAAAGATTATGCTTGGCATTGAGGCCAAGCAAGCTGAGATTCTCCGACAACATAAGGAGATTGTCAGTCTTCTGAGGGGTGGAGCTGGAGTGAGAGAGTGATAGAGAGATTTCTGTGCTTGATTGTTTTTGTGAATGTGTTTCTTCTTTTAAGGAAGATTGAATCTTTTGTGCTGAACTATAATATTGTGTGAAATGATTGAATCAACCTTCTTTTTATCACATTTATTTATTTTTTTTAAAATGCATTTGTTAAAAGTTAGCATTACATTGTTATTTGTTAAAAACACATGTTAATATTGAGATTGATTGCTAAAAGATGACTAAAGCACATGATCGGTTTGACACCTCACCTAAAAATTTAGACTTACAGCCACATCTTTGAAAAATAGTATTTTCTCTATGCTTAAAATGTCAAATGTACATTGATATTTGTTATTCTTAAGGTACAAGATGACTAAACTCAAAAATGGAATTAATATATAACTGACATTCCTTGAGAAACCTGACATAACTAGTGGAGATAACGAAAAATACTATGATAAGTTTCGAGCCTTGCAATGCTTTTGAGAGACGATCAACATTTACAAAAGATTTTTCACTATCTATTCTTGAATAATATCATTAAAATTATTTTTGATTGACACAACTAGAATAATCTATTAATGTATTCCAGAAAGGATCTGTTCATATGACACATACATATGCACATGCTTGAGAAAGGATTTTAGGTCATATTTGATTTAATTTTGAGCCTTAGCCATTTCTTTTACAAAAGTATACTCCTAGTTAGTTAGGATTGAGCCTTTACAAGTGTGAATTCTTTTTCATATTACCCATATGATAACCGAGCCACAGAAAAATATACTTGACATACCTTTGCTATCTAATTTTCTTGCACCCTCTTATAAATTAGTATGATACAAAAAAGCAAGAGAAAGGGAAAGGACGATAGTGGTTACTGTTCAATGACAGAAAAGTCGGTGGAAACAATTGAAAAAGAAAAGAGATAGAAAAATAGAAAATTGCCAAGAAAGTGAAAAATGAGAAAAAGAATGACAGAAAGAAACACCATGTAGGTGAAATTTCAAAAAACTAGAAAAATGTGTGTTACACTACATAAAGAAATGATAGTTTTTGAATACCATTAACGTCGTTCTGTTAGCCACTGACCTCTGGCTACATGACTACCTATAAAAAGCCCTAATTGATCTCAAGCCTGATGCATATGTAGGTTGTCTACCAAAAGTCTGGGGTATGTTAAATAGTATTTCCTTATTTGTATCAATATTCTTCCATGAGATTATGCCAAACATGATTAGTTTGTTTCCTTAGATTTTACTCCTGTACTAATTAAGCACGTGGTGTTTCAATTAGTATTCTTATGATCACATGCCATTTGAGAGAAAAGTCACTATAATCAAAGGGAATTCTTGGTGAGAGCATTTTAAGAGAGGTTTGTGAAATCAAAGCTATCCATGGAAGGTGGTAAATTGCAATGTTTGTTATATAACAATTCTTGTTGAACGATCATTCCAACTATACAAGGAATTCCAAATACCAATGTGACAAATGCTTATTTTTGCATAGAATAAATACATATGGAAAAGAAGTGTCCGAGAGATAATTCGAAATTGAGGGTTGGGTGTCCCACCGACCATGGTGCTAACTCACTCTAGCAAGCGATCTCGCATATATATATCTGTTCGACTAAAGTTTGTGGGAAGTTTGTGGGTAGTTTCACTGAAAACTCTCACGAGACAACACTCATCCGCTAGAGTAAACTTAGTGGTTTAAAGGCTTGTTGCATATGCTAAATGCAACCAGATGACCTATGAAAATGGCATTGTAAATAAATTCACATTCCATTTTTGATTACTAAAGACTAGCAATATTTAGGTTGGGGGTGTGATTAGTAGTTAAAATTAGCATATTACTATGCCTTTTAAAGACTAATTACACTTTGATGGAGTTTAAATGTTGGCATTTTAGGACAAATATTGTACAAGGGCCTAAAATCAATACACAACAAACTTTCACCAACAACCACATGTTCTGGAACAAAATTGGAGAAGCTTGGAACAAGGGAAGGACATTCAAATGCCAATCCACGTTCGAACGTTCTCTTAAATTATTTGAAGACCAGACTACTGAAGTGCTGAGACATGGCGTGTTGCAATTAAGAAGGAAAACAAAGAGGTACTTGAGTACCACGTTTGAACGTCAATACACGTTCGAACGTTCTCCTGGATTATTGAGGACCAGGCTGTTGAGTGCAAAGTCAAGTTGTAAATGGAGTGTGGAAATTGATCTCACAGAAAAACACAGGTCATTTGAGTAGGAAAGTTCAAACTCCATCTGGTGTTTGAACTCCATCAAGCAAAAATAGGAAACAACGTTCAAATGCTAGACAACGTTCGAATATTGTTCCCAGACAAGCTGCAGAGTGGTTGATTTTCTATCTAGACTTTGGGGCTTTCACTTGGACTTTGAAGACCTTACACTATTCTTTCACACTCCCTTGCCCCCTTTTCCTTGCCTATAAATACTCACTAGACCAACATTTCTTAGCTAGTTGTAGAATTAGTCTTAGACTTAAGCTTACATTTACTTGTATAGAGGGAGATAGATCATCTTTTGGTTGAGGTGGGAAACCCTCCACTTGGAGGGATGAGCATCACTCACTTTTCTAGCTTTATCAAAGTCATGAAGAGTGAGTAGTTTTTCATTCACTCTTTAGTAAGAAGTGATGGACATGTATAAATCATCAGGAAATTATATTTGTGCATTTCATTTATGCTTAATGCTTTATATTCCACTTGCTTATTGAATGATTGAATGCATTTAGTAAAATTAAGGTACTTTGTATAACCATGAGTACTTTCTATGACACAGATGACTCTTGCATAGAAAGGCTCATTAGTTCAAGGCAAGTACCCCGACTAGATCTTCACGATTACCCTTCAATCTTCACCATTATTGTGCTTCATTTAAAGAATGAAAAACTAATGCAATGGTTGGACGCCTCGTAGAAACACTTGTTTGTTTGTAGATCGGTTGAGTCTCTGC